AAAAGATACCAAAAAGTTTTGAGCCAATTATATATTAAACTACTTTTAAAATTGCAAAATTGCTAATTTTATTTATAGGCCTAATTGATTAGAAAATGATTTAAATATTATTTGACAAACACTTCAAGGTTATGCTATTTATGCTATTTAAGATTTAACTCAACATTTTTACAGTTATTTCAATAATTGAGACCATCTCTTCCATCAAAATTTTGAGAGATCATGTTTAAAAAATAGTAATAAAATTTGAGTGTAAAATCTAGAGTTATGACATGAAAAGAAAGGCTATATTTTTTAGTATCAAATTGGCTCCGATCTATTTATTGGGTGTTCGAATAGTTATAAATGAATTTGATGTAGATACAGATACTAAAATTACTATTTGTGATGGGTTTAGATCGAACATATATTTTAAATTTTTCGGTATTTGCAATCAAACTGCAATACCCTACCCATTACTAATAAATGAGATATTTTAAATAGGTTTGATTTCGAGTAATTTAAAAATTACAGATATTATGTTCGTTTAAGAAATAAATGAGTTGGACTCGAGTATTAATATTTAAATAAAGATTTAAACATATTTCAATATGGATATTAAATTTCTTTCATATTTGCCATGTTTACGTCGCTAGTTAGTTATGCCCATTGCTTTGCCTTTCTATCTGCATAAAATTTGATATGATTATACAATGATAATATGAGTCTTCTTTTTTTCTTTTTGAGGCTTTAATTTTTTTCATTGTACAAAAATTTGCGTGTATTTTGATGTATAGGTAGCCATGACCAGGGCTCCGAAACCGCAGGTTATGATTTCAAAATTCGTTGTTCCAATTATAAGAAAGATAGAACCGAAATCGAACTGTTTTTAAGGTTTTATTTGTTTCTGTAAAATAACTTGTAGGCTTCAGAATTTTCTTTTGTTTACGATCTTCAGAAAAATAAGTCAACAGAAAATATTTTCTTGGTCAAAGGAAAATTAAGTTATTTTTTAAGGAAAAAACTTCTCATTCTTGAAAGAACAAAACATTTTTCAGACATTGACAAACCTTATAAATCCATACTTTTTAATTTTAATCATCATAGTCACTACCACCAGTCACCATTTGCTACCGGCCACCGGCAACTTTCATAATTTATATTTTTTTGCATTCTTTTCATATTTAACAATAAAATTTCTATTATTATTAATATTTTTTATCATATTTAACAATAAAAAATTGCTATTATTAGTAATATTTTTTATGGTCTTATGAGTAAAAAACTTTAATATTTTTTAAATAAATTTTTAATATACAAACCCAAACAATTGGAAATAAGTTAATATTTTTTATGGTCTTATGAGATAAAAACTTTAATATTTTTAAATAATTTTTAATATTACAACCCAACAATGGAAAATAAGTCATTTGGAAAATATTTTCCATGAAAATATTTTTCAGCAAGTTATTTTTACGGAAATAAACGGAGGCTAAGATAATTTTGGAACTACTTGTTCCAGTTTTATTTCGGCTTAGATAATTTATTTTGAGTTTTAAATTTTTTTTTTGATTTATAGCTTGAATAAATAATGCTAATAAATATTATTATTGAAAAACACTAAATAAATTTAATAGAAATTCTTAAAATTTATTTTAAAAAATTATAATAAAAAAATTGAGAGTTTTTTCAAAAATATGTTTTCACTATTGTAGACTAGAACCGCTAGTTTTAAACCAAAATTGTCAGTTCAGGTCTTAAAAAATAAAGAACTGAAACTGAACCTTAAGTGTACAGTTTTAATTACAGTTTGAAACTGAAAAACATTGATCATTATTTAAACGGTTTGATTTCAATTCGATTCCGTTTTAAAATCGAACCGTGTTTATCCATATGTATGGGATTTTATGATTTTTGTCATATCATTCTCGAGGCATGGCCTCAGTCATATGATCTTATGTCACAATCACATGCACTAAATATAGTCAGTTTGAATGAGAAAAATATTTATTTTAATTCTGATTTGATTCAAAAATTCTGCTGGGTCAAATATTCTCCTAACTATGATTGAAATCCTGTGTGTTAAGCTCACATGGAGATGGGTAATTGTAGAAATAAAATCATCTAATTAATATGCAAAACACATTTTATAATTAAACAATTTACATAATTCTTATGTTCACAAGTACCTTTACTTATATTTAAGCATATTTTGACCAGTCAATTATCTCATAACTTTTTTCTTTTATTTTTTAAAACCTTTTTCCTCCAACCTTTTGCATGTGGTTTCGCATATATAATTAATTTCAATAAAAATTTATAAATATGTAGGATTAAGTATTTTTCAATTGCTACGTATGTAATTAAAGAAAATTTATAAAATTTGTGTATATATAACATAGGAACCATTTAGAACAAAAATACATTTATACGTATTATACCTTCACTTTTTTTAAGAAATATATTTAGAAATATATTTTTCCTATAATTTCAGAATAAAAATTTTAAACATAATGGAAAATAAAGAAATTGAGAAAGGAAAAAGAAATAGGATATTTTGATAATTAATAACTAAAACATTTGATCATGGTCGGTCTACCATGAAATAATAATCATTAATTAGCAATCTTAAAATATGTATTAAAGAAGAACAATCTTGAAGTTTGTCCTCCGCCAGAAGAAGCAGAGCACATATCAATATTTTCATCACATGGTGAGTTGCAGAACAACACTATATGATGAATTATTTTAATTTTTGAGTCTATTTAATTTTAAATTTTAATAATTATTAGTAAATAAATAATAATAATTAAGGTTTCTTAATTAGTTCTGATCATTCATATGGTTGCATGTGCATGTGAATCTAAAATTCCAACGTTTACACATATAAAAGATAGTGAAAATAGTACAATCTCATGTGGGTAAATTAAATTAAATCAGTGATGGTTAATTATTATGTAGCAGAATTTATGGCGAAAGGCAAATTAAGGTAATCATAGAAGAGAACAACATTTCATCAATCTTAATGTAGAATCATTCATAACATTATAGTGAAAATCAAGAAAAAGAATTCCAAGAGAAAAAGAAGAATAAAGAAGAAGCATAGCAATATTATTAATAACCAATATATGCTTGGATCAGCCAACATGAACCATATTTTTTGACGAAAAATATACTTATAAAATTAAGGATTCGAAATTTAAATATCGCCTGGGTTCGAGTATATCTAAAAATATTTATAAAAATATATATTAAATATTTTAGCATATAAAATTGCATATATTATTATATTGAATACTTCAAATTAAAATTTTATTTTTATTTAACACTCATATAATAGTTAATAAATATATGAACCGTCTTTATTAATTTGTGTTTAAAGATACATAAGGATTGCACCTATATTGGATGCATATCTAAAAATTTTAAAATTTTAAAATGTATAAATTTATGTTTAATGGGTTTAATTTCATAAGTTAAAATGTTTAAAAGGATCAATTTTATAAATTGAACATTTATAAAGTTCAAATGTCAACTCGTACATTTTTAAAAAAATACAGTTAATATGGTTACATCATAAGTTTTATTTTATCTTTCCTAATATACCTTTGTAGTTTTTCCTAATTTGAAAATATGGTTAATTGTTTATTTTCAGAGTTGATTAATAGTTAAAGATGTATATTAATTAGATATAAAATAAAATAAAAACTGCAAACATTATTTTCTTTTTGAAAAAGAAAATAGAACTGACAATATATTATTGATAAAGATCTATATTAATTAAATATATAATAGAAAAGTGCAAATATTATTTTTTCAAAAAAAAAAAAAAGAAAAAAGAAGAGGACCATATAACTTTACACAAATGAAAAAAGAAGATGAGCTATAATTTAAACTTTATTTTTATGGGTACAATTTCAAGCTTTAATTTTTAAATAGCTAAAGTCATGCATTTATTTAAATAAATAAATGAAGAACTTATTTGTATCATGTACGTATTTTTATGACGTCAATTTTATGCAATAGATTATATGTAATTAGATTTTATAAAAGTCAATAAAGTCTGATTGGTCTTCTAACTCACGTAATGAGTGGAAAGTCTCAAATTCAAATGCTCTGGACCATAATTGTTTTTACGAAATTAGTAAGCTAGAAGAAGAGTTATTGTAGCGACCCATTCAGCCTTCAATGAATTAAAAAAAATTATATTTAGAAAATTAACATGATATTCATTCAAACTCTCTATATACTAATCATATTTTGAAGTTGCAATCAAAGACTAGTGCAAAATAAAAGTCAGAATAATATATTTTTAAACAGAAAACAGTAATTAAGAATATGAAGAGGGCATGTAAAATTGTATGAAATAAAAAAGATTCTAAGGTAGGAAAAAAAAGGGAGCCATTTAGAATTTAGAACTGTAGAAAGAGCATGCTCCTGGTTTCAACAAATATAGTAAACCTTTCAATTATTAAACAATCCTGTCCTTAGTGGAACAATGGGTACAAACCCTCCCCTACAAAACAAGATAACAACTGTCTATAGGTCACTAATCCTACTCTTTTTCTCTCTCTCTCCCTCTCTTTCTATGACTATGAGATGACCTTAAAAAAGTGACCCTAATGGATGGTTCTTCAACAGAAGAAGAAGATGAAGATAAGAGAAGAAGAGTAGTGTTCAAGAATCAAGCGCATCATGTAGTTAGGACAATAACATTTGACCCATGACTTTAATGCTTCATTAACAACCATCCACACCATCATTTAACATTCGAATCAAATCCCATCAAAAATAAATTATTGAATCACGACATGAAAAGTATATTATAAACAAATAATATTAAGAAATTCGCGAATAATGAATACGTTGCTTATTTTAAAACCTAAGCTTTTTTTTTTATGGTGTACTATTATTATTGGAATATTAAAAATTGAAATATCTTAAGTTTTATTATCAAGTGAGATATATATAATTTGTGTCTCAATTTCCCAAATTATAATTTTTGAAGGTGTACAAGCAAGAGATTTATAGTGTGATAATAGACACTCCCTATATATAATAACAAAGCCCCATTATAGCCCACAATCACAATTCTCTTACTATAAGCTTTGCTTCATCTTTCCCTCTCTCTCTCTTTCTCTCTCTCTCTCTCTCTCTCTCTCTCTCTCTCTCTCTCTTTTTCTTTGATACATAAAAACACCACATAGGCACAAATTAAGAAGTATCATATAACATAATTTGTGGGTTATATTTACATGGATGAGAAGTGGAAGCCATCAAAGAAAGAAGGTTCATCATCTTCTTCTTCTTCTTTTGTCAGGAGTTTCTCAACAAAGAGTTCATCATCTTCAAAATCACCTCTATTGAGTAGTTCTTCACTTAAAAGAAGCTCTTCACTAAAAAGCTCATCTCCAAGTAATAACAAATGTCCTCTTCCAAGAAGTTATTCTCAAAAGAACTCTTCCATTTCAAGAAAGTGTAGTAGCTTAGCCAAAGAACAGAAAGCAAGATTCTATATCATGAGGAGATGTGTTGCAATGCTTGTTTGTTGGCATAAGCATGGAGATTCTTGAAAAATATAGGGAGAGAATTGGAAATTTATTAGATATATGTATCTTCACTTTCTTTTTTTTTTATTTTTCTTTTTTGAGAGATGGGTGTTGGGTTTGATTTGGAACTCATAAATTTTCTTGCCACCATCCAATCAAGAAGAGAGATTGGTTATATAGAGACTTTTTTTGTTTTCCTTCAACTTTTAATTAGCAGCTGTAATCTGTAATTAAGATATTTGAAGAAAGCTATAAGTTTTAAACATTAAATTGATATATCATTAAATACATTAATCCAATATGAAGTCCTAATTAAACTAGCTAGCTACATTTTTTTTTTGTTCTTTCTTTATTTTTTTTATTTGCTTGCCATAATTATCAAACTCTTGATCATAATTAAGTAATTACTGAGATCTTGATCAAGTTCAGTAGTTAGAAAGATTTTTTTTTTTCTAATTTATACTATTTTTCTTTTTTTTTTTCTTTTGATTAATTTTCTGTTTTCTTGTTTGTTTTGACTTGATAAGAGAGAGATTCCTTTCACCTGTTGGTACTGCCAGAATGTGGTATGGCAGTAGTAGAGATTATTAGCAATTGGATCTGCATTGGGAACGTGACTCAGTTTTCTACCTTTTAAACATTAAAAAAAAAAAAAAAAAAAAAAAAAAAAAAAATTAAAAAAAAAAAAAGAAAAAAAAAAAAAAAAAAAAAAAAAAAAAAAAAAAAAAAAAAAAAAAAAAACACACACTAGATTGAATTTCAATTAACATGAGTAACCCAAGGATAAATAAAAAATTTAATAATGCGAATACGGGTACCTCAGTAGCAAATAGAACTTGCGGAGTTGATCACTATGACTTACATCATGGGTTTAATCCTCCGCAACACAAACTCCTCCCAAGCCAATCCCTTTGCCTCAAAGGCGAGCAGAAGTAATAAAAAATTTAATTATTTATTGCATTTTTCTATAGAAAGTAATTCTTGAATATTAATTTATCACTAGCAATAGTGGCAGTCCCACTATTATAAGTATCAATTTTTAATCAGTAATTAGTAAGCATCAAAGTAAAATTATGTGAAACTTAATTATTTACCATAAATCACATACATTATTGATATAACTAATAATAAAATAGATATATCAATTATATTTTGTAGGAAATTAGGAAATGTATCGAAAAAATTTCATATATTCAAGAATTATAAGTAAGAGTTTCTTATACCAATCAAATATTAAAATTTTAATCTTCTAAAGAGATTTCGACAACCAAATGTTCCCTTGAAGTATTCCACATATCCAAAAGATAATAATCGAATCAAGAAAAAACCTGGAACCGTAATTAAGCTACATTAATTAATTTGTAAAAGAAGAAAAATTGAATTAAATTGTACATATATAATCTGATGGATCGTTGATCCTTTTGAAAAAAGGGAGGGACCATTAGCAATATTATTTCTACTAAAGTGTTATAAAACAGCACCTGAATCTTTGTGGCTGCATTCTCAAAGCTTCCACAAAGAATCAAAGTGGTTGGCAACAAGTTAAATAGACTGTAATAAAAGTGAATAACTGACAATCTACACACGTAGAGGATGCTGAACCAAGCTGATAAAGAAACTTCCCATCAGAACAAGAAGAAGAAGAAGAACAAGAACAAGAAATCAAAATTTTAAAGAAAAAAGAAAATTAGGGTTTTGATTAATTTCTGGTCTGTTTTCGTAAATTGTTGGTTGATTTATCATTTTTTAAGTGTAAAATCCACACTTATGTATGTTCAAAATCATATGCATATATATATAGATATTGAAATACATTACCAGATCATTATGTGAACAGTAAATTCTGCATGCATTCTTTTATTTTGATTTTTATTTCAAAATTTTGTCAGAGGAGCCATGTGATTTCTGTAAGTGGGAACTATGTATGGGAATCAATTTGCCCTTCGTGGGGTATCTCAGACTGTATAATTCCTGGAAATAATACAAGAAGCTGCCAAAAAGTTTATTACTGTCATAATATTTTGGAAAAAGAAAAAAAAAGATGAAAAAAATATTTATTTATTTATGATTTTAGCAATAGTTTGAATTTTAGAATCTGATTTGGAGATTTGATATAAAAAACTCTTATTCTCATTTTTAATATTTTTAGGGTATTTCTTAGTGAAATTTAGGCTCCCTTTTGTACCCTCGACTTTTCAGCATTGAAACCTTTTTGCCCTTGGCTGAACCCGCGTTTCCATAAAATAACTTGCAGAAAAATATTTTTTATAATTTTTCGTTGTTTGGGGCGCTTAGAAAAATAAGTTAACGAAAAATATTTTTCTGGTTAAAGGGAAATTAAGACATTTTTAAGGAAAATAATTTTTCATTTTCAAGAGAGTAAAATATTTTTCGGACATTGACAAACCTTATAAATATATATATTTTAATTTATTAAATATCGTAGTACTACCATCAGTCACCATTTATCACCGATTACCACCGTCGGCTACCACCACCAACGGCTTTTTCATAATTTATATATATATATTTTTTTTTGCATTCTTCTCATATTTAATAATAAAAACTTTAAATTATAAAATTGCTATTATTATTAATATTTTTTATGGTCTTATGAGATAAAAACTTTAATATTTTTAATTAATTTATAATATTACAACCAAACAACGGAAAATAAATCATTTGGAAAATACTTTTCAAGAAAAATATAGCATAAATTAGAAATTGAATATGTTGATAATATTAATTATATTAACAATGACTTAATAAGCATGAACTGAATCATCAACAATTGAATCAGATGAAAGATTTTGGTTCAACGGCTGATGATTGACATAAAAATAAGCACATCAACACCTAATCTTTATCCCTGGAGAAAACCTTCTCTCCACGAGTAAAATTGTACCTCTAGTAATAGAGTTCTCTAAAATTGCAAAATTATTGACAAATAAAAGCCAAACGACAAAACAAAATAAGAAACGATTTGGAATCCAACACAAAACGTTGGGTAAAGCTACAGACAGACAGACCCAAAAGCAAAAATCTAAAAAATTATTGATCTAACACTTTGGAAGATCAGACGGTGGAGGAAGCAGCTTCTGATTTGGAAGTTCTCCATCAAGGACTATCCATACCATACTCAAGCCCCAACTCAAATGCACATCAAAATGGCAGTGCATAAACCATGCTCCTGTGTGATACACATAATTACCACCCATTTTATTATACAATAAATAAAACATACCTCATTTTTATTTAGCATATATCTAAATAATAAGTTGTTTTTATATTTATTATTATTTCCTTTTGGGTGAAAAAACTTGATCAAAAAATTATAAAAGGTTTTGGGTGCCAAGTTAGATTTTGGGTGTACGCGGGAGGTCTATTAGCTCGGTTTTCGTCCTTCAGTATTATTAAGTTTTTCTCGTATTTATAATAATATAATAAATTTATTTATCCGATAAAAAAAATTATATCATTCTATCCCTAATGTTAGTGTTTGAATGTACGAGCAAGTATAATCATAACTACATATATGACAATTAGATATTTCGATTGAAAGAAACTATATATTAATTAGAGGAATACTGACCAGGATTATCAGCAAAAAAACGAATTGCCACCCATCCACCAGCGGGCACACCAACAGTGTTGAGTTCAACAGGATCAACAAGATTAAAATTTTTAGGATCATTATAAGGATCAAAATTTCCAAATCCTTGACCAACTACATAAAAATCATAACCATGAAGATGAAGAGGGTGACTCTCTGTACCAAAAATACTTGTATCTTGAAGCACTACTTCCACACTAGCATTAAATGGAAGAACCACAACTCTGGTCCCATTTGTAACAAAAGTATTATTTGGAGGGGTTCCAGTATAATTAAAAGGAGTTAGGGGAAATCTTGGAAACCCAGTAGTGTAAACCCCATAATTTGATTGGTTAAAATAATAGGATTCAAGAATTGCTCTTCCAGGTTGAACAAAGGAAATGTTATTAACAGAAGCTGCAAATTTTGTTCCATTAGGCCCTTGACATGTTTGATTTTGGGGGCAAGGGCTTGTTCCTAAACCTACTGTGAAGAAAAATTGTTGGTCAACTTTTTGAGGCACATTAGCAGGAAACTGAGAATTAACCAGTCTATGAAATTTGGTTGCAAAGCTCATAGCAGTGTTTGTGTCATTGATTTGAGGCAAAGAAGGAGTAATAATTGGGGGTTTTGAACTGGCTTTTGAGAAATTTGAAGGGATTTCGTATTCAAGAATTGCAGCTACAGTTGAATTATCAATTGGACCTTGAGAAGTTGAATATGGTCTTGCTAATATAAAAAATGTGGCATTTGGGTAAATGGGTTTGGTCTTAAGAAGAACATTTGTGGTTTGTCCTGCTGAAATTAGCAAAATGTCTGTTTCAAAAGGTTGAACATACCTTGCATCAGCTTCAACCACAGTTAAATTGTGATTTGCTACAGTGAAAAAGAGATCTGAATCAACTGCTCCATTAATCACTCTTAGAAGATATGTTTTCCCTTGTTTCACTGTTAATTTGTATGTATCTGCAACAAATTGTTAATGTTTTAGGCCTTTCCTTCAATAAAAATTACAAAAAGAACAGGAATGACTTTACTTAATGAATTTAGGGTTCATTTAATAAGCCGTAATGAATAAATTAGAGTCAGACAAAAAATTTCATCGACCAATGACAAAAATTTGGAGCTAGAGGAGTCAGAACTCCTAATCCTCTTATCTCCGTCCTTGAATATTATGTAACTAATCAAATACATTTCTAATAAAAAAATGTATTTAATTACATTACATTATATTTATTACAGCTTACTAGGTAAAACGTAAGGTAATTATATAAAGTGCTAACAAGATGAGGTCTATTTGATCTTTTGACATAGTTTCGAGTTCGAGTCCTCTCGATCATAAAAATTTTTACCATAATTTAGTGAGTTAAGCGCAATGTTATTTCGGCGTATTAAACATTTCAACGAATAAAAGAAAAAAATATAATAATGCAAATTACCATTTGCAGAACAATTATATAATGGGCCTGGAAGCCCATTGATTGTGTAGGCATCAGAGACATTAGGTGCACCTCCTGTTTGTAAAGCTTGATTAATGATTGCCTCAGGATCAGTATTATACCACTCTCCTGTAATTAATTGAAAGATATAAAGTTGATTAGTGAATTAATTAGGGTTAGAGAAGCTATAGGAATGTAAAGATAATGCAAGAAATTAAAAAGGGTAAAATATAATTAAATCTCTAAATTATATTCAAAGTAACATTTAAGTGCTTCTACATTTGAAAACTAACTATAACATCCCTAACTTATCATCTATCTTATTATTTGATCCTTTCGTCCAAAAAAAGATTTTTTTTTTTTTAAAAAAGAGCATATTTTGTCCAAAAAATGTATCTAATTAATGGTAAAGAGCTCACTTTTTGAATGGAAAGACTTAATAGTGAAATGGAAGCATAAATTAGAGACGTCATAGTTTTTTTCAAATATAGAAAACTTAAATGTTAATTTGAATGTTATTTAGGGATTTAATTATATTTTACCCAATTAAAAAAGAGGATTCATAAATTAGTTAGAATTACCAAGCAAGATTGTGAATTCCTTGTAGGGTTTGGGAAATGGGTAGGAAGAATTTCTTGGAGGGAGGATGATAATGGGTCCATAGACAGTAGCTCTAAGCCATGAGAAATGAGCATGCCATAAAAGAGTTCCTCTTTGTCCTCTAATTGTGAAATTGTACACATAAGTATTGTTTGTTTGAATAGGGCATTGTGTGACATATGATGGTCCATCTGCCCATCCTGTCTGAAGTTGTCGAATGCCATGCCTGTTTTAATCACAAAATTAATTATAATAAGCAAATGTTTAACATGTACATTTCAAATCTTAATTCATTAGTTTAAAATTTTAGAACCACTTAAGAACGGTTTTGGTTTCAATTTCATTTTTTTTTTTTTTTAGAACCAAAACCAATAGTTTTCAAAATTGAAACCAGTGTTCAAAAATCATTTTATACCTAAACTGATCAGCCATTAATCATAATTATTACTAGATCAATTAAACTCTAATCATTCAGTTAGTAATTAGTCGATCATTCATTAATCTAGACATATTAGAAGATTTACAATAATGGTTTTTCATACCAATGGATAGTGACATTGCTAGAAACATGATTGACCACCTTCACCAGAAGTTGATCACCTTCTCTTGCAACAATCCTAGGCCCAGGGAACTGGCCATTCACCGTCACCATGCTTTTTGTAGTACACAATCTTGTGACATTGGTCGATACTATCTGCAAGAAAATGACATATCAAGAACAACACAATTAAAAACACAAACAAATGCATAATATCCTATACTTCTCCGACCTAAAAATTCAATTCAATCCGACAAATTCTAATTAAAGAAAGCTCAATTAATTAGTACATTACATACATTAAACTTGTAGTGCCTAGTAATCCCTGCAATGGCAACAGGAGGAAGAGTCCATAGAAGTGCTGCAAGAAAAGGTGCCAGTAAAGGAACTGAAGCGCCCATATCTGATTAGTTAATGGAACAAGAACTTGTTATCAGCTAATTCAATTCTCTTGGTTTTCTAATAATACGATATCAGTAAGATCAGTGAAGAGGGTGTTTTATATGGGTTAATATAAAGGGTGTGTTTGGTTTATTAGGGTTTAATTAGGCAATAAGATAAAATTTAGAGTGTAATCAAAGTTAATTATTTGATTTGTCTGTCCTTGTAATGGTGGACCCTTCTTTATCCTCAGATATTAAATTTCTCCTACTGTGAGACTTGATCGAAAGGTTTTAGCAATTTGCTTTCTTTACTTCACTAAAGAAACCCTTTTCATGGAAATCCTTCTCATGAAAATTTACTGTAAAAGACAAAGTTGGTTGCACGCATGGAGAAATTTCACTATGCCAAACTAAGCAAATTCCTAAATACTTTGCCTGTACGAATGGCTCCACGAAAAGACATGCAACCCACTGCACTCCCTGATTGCCATTTCAAAAAGCTTGGCAAATCACTAATCTGCGGCTAATTTCTTGTAATCAGATAAAAATTATTTGAATTACATTAATTATTAATAGTTATGTCCCGCAATCTTTTTGACCTCTTAGTTCTCTAGGAGCAATGCAAAAAGATCGAAAAATAGAACCATCTGATTAATTCGTTCTCAATAGGAATGAGATGATCATTTTAAGGTAATCCTTTTATCGACGGATTCTCCTATTACATTCATAGATCTTATGGATGAGAACCAATCATCAAATATTCTTTTTGGTATAATTGAAATAAATTTAAAAATTAAAAATTATTTACCTTTATTTTCTAAAATACCATCATTTATAATTGTCTAAGAAAATGGATAATTTTGTTATTAATTTTAAATGGTTCATTTGGAAAATTCAGCCTATTTTGATAGAATTTGATTTAGATACATTCAAATCTATAGAATCAAATTAGTAAGATTTAAATTCTCACTTTTTTTATTCCAAATACATATTTAAATTTATAAATGAAATCAAAAATATTGGAAATGAATTATGTAGCAAAGAACATATTGAAAATTGCACCATAATAGGAATTTTTAATGGCCCAAAATTTAATTCTTGTCAATGAAAAGTTTTCATTTTAAGCCAATATATATTCTAATCACTTTCATGGATCAATGGCTAAGTGGACTTGTAAATTTGTTAACAACCAAACAGAGTCTTAAGATGTTACTAAAGCCAAGAAAATAGACAAAGACACTAGATCAACTTTCTTCCAAGCAAGAAAGGGGATCATGACATTAATGATTAGGTTGATTAGTAAGTTATTTTTCTGCAAATAAACAATTAACCACTCAAGCTTAGTCATGAAGTCACCATAGCCAAGAGAGTTAATTAAAGGAGTACACTAGCCAAATGCTAGGTGTGTTTGAATTTATGGGTGGACCAACCACACTCCTTGTAGGGTACTCCTAAATATATCCTTTACATTTCTCAAACAAAATAAAAATATTAGATGTACCCATTTTTACATATTGATTTATACATGACATTAAGGGCTGGTTTTATAATGTACTTAGAGGATATAGAGACACTCATAAGTCTATAGTTACCAGGCTGTTATTTAAGGTTAATTTGGTGCTCCATTCGTTATTGGATAAAATATATATTGATCAAAGCTACAATGGATATTGATTAATTTGATGTAATTCAGCTTATTATAACAACAAATCATTTTTTACAGCACCAATTATACAAGAATAAGCGATCAGATTTGTGGAACAGTAGAAGTATACTACATCTCCAAGCGAACTTTACCACATTAGTAAAATGGAAAGTTTTTTTTTTTAAAAAATGCTCTCTAATGCTATGTCTATTTGATAGATCAAATTGAGGTGTCAAAAAAAATAAATAGACGTTGTCTACAATACCTTTTATCTCTAGAGTCTCTTAGATAATATGGGTATTTATTACTCTATAGTGGCTAGCAGCATATTAAATTATGGAACCATAAAAGAAAAGAAGAAAAAGGATGCAAAAGGATCTGAAAGTAATGCATTGGAGAGAGATTTTTAAAATTTAACGTCTATAAGTACACATGCAGCGACTCCACCTTCACATCTTCTATTTTATATAATACATAAGCTACAATCCATATTAGCATTAGAGATGCTTTCATTAAAAATAATCCCCCTCTTGCCATACAATCTATGTAACATATAATAAACACAAGACAACTTAAGAAATAGTTAATCCCAAATCATAACAACAGCAATAACTCCCACACCAAGAAGAACAGCAAGAAACTTGAAGAATGGAGTGTCAAAGAACAAATTAGCTTGTGGTTTGAAACCTTTAGCTATAAGATGGTTGATAGCAACATAAATAAAAATCCCACAAGCAAGTCCCATAGAAATAGCATAAATCCAATCAGCAACTGGGCCTTGAGTTGTAGCATCAATAGCAATACCTATCCCTACTCCAATGGGACTTGAAATAGCAAAGGCAAAAGAGTATGCCATTGTTAATGTTAATGGTCGCTTAGGAAGCATCCTAAGAAGTGCAATTCCCATTCCTATGGCAGCAAAAATTTTGTGCAATGATATTGTCCAAAGATTTCTCCATGCATCTGTCTTAGTATCTATAAAGAGAAAATTAGGTCATTTGTCATACACATACATATAAGAGACTAGCAACTCAAGCTTGGGTAATTTTGCTATATATATATAAAGTATAAACCAAAAGAAGAAACTAAATGTGAAATTAAGTTATTCTAAACATGGAAGTAACTCAAATAAAGGAGATAATTAGGTCATTTGTCAATAGTTCATGAAAATAATGTTCTTTTTATTTTAATATAGGCGAAATGTATAGATTTGCCCCAAAAATTTATGTGATTTGTTTTGTAATACCCTCAACTTTGCGGGATACCTATCATGATCCTATAATTTCATATTTCAATAATAACTATGCCTCTCGACAAAATGAAATAACTTTATAAGAGTAACATAGTTATTACTGAAGTGTGAAAGTGTAGAGTTAAAATAGGTCTCGGCAAACTTGAGAATACCACGAGACAAATTGCATAAACTTGAGAGGTAAACTTGAGGGGCAAATTTATATATAAGGCCTCTTGATATAGGAAGATTCTATTATTCTATGTAGATAGATGATCAACTATATGGAAATAGCACCTTTTTTTCTGAACATAAAGAAAATGGATAGTGATTAAACCAATAATACATTAATTGATCGTTAATTAGTATTACCTAAACCTAATCGGATCTATGAAAGCTAATTAAAATATAATAAACCTATGTTAACACAAACAGTGAAAAAGAGACATTATTTACTAGAAATTATCAACAATTAATCAAGGATTAATTTAACTTACCTGCAACTCCAACGGCAATACCTTCAAAAACTGAATGAAAACACAAAGCAAGAATTAGTAATATTGTGTCACCAATAGAAGTGGTCTTCAAGAAAACTGGGTTAAGCTCATGAACTTCAGTTGCTTCTTTATTATCACTTGCTATTCCTTCTTCAACTTGAACTACTCTAGATTCTCTATGGCTATCACTACGCTTTGTAACCAAGATCACTATACAATCACCCAACATAGTCAAGAGATACCCAGAAGAGGCTAACATGAAAGCAAAAGGGTATTCTTTGGTCGTAAGACTTCCAAAAGTCTCATTAGAATCACTCAAGAAATGCATAAGTGAAGTTCCAAGAAAAACCCCACCTGCAAATTGAGTACCCAAAAGAAGGAAATTCTCATTCCATCTATAAAAATATGGGGAGACACCACCAACAAAAGTGCTTACAAAGAGAATTATTAAGCACCAAATTTTCACCAAGATTAACCCTTTGTCATGCAAATCTGTTTCCCCATTGTCACTACCATCTTCATGATCATCACCTCCATGGCCGTTGATCAAGGAGAATTGAAGAAATATAAGAGAAATAATGAATATGGTTGACTTGGGAGTTTTCTGGGAACGAGCCATGGAGTTTCCTTTCTTGGCTTGGAAGGGTTTGCATTAGTTATGCTAAGAGGGATATAAAAAGCATACAAACTGTCACATATATATCCAATAATTTGCTTCTTTGTAGTACAGTGTTGACTTTCCAAGATTGTGGTAATGTTGTACTACACAAGATACAATCCCATGAAGGCATCAAAATGCCTAGGGTTTAGACGGTCAGAAGCCAGATGTAATAAAATCCTTAACTAGCATTATTTTATTGGAAAATTCTTACCAATACCCAGCATATGTGATTTTCTCGTACACGACGCCAATATAAAAAAGAGTTTTTTTAAAAAAAATGTTATTAGTTTTTTTATTTTTTTTAAGTAAAGATATTCTCTTGTTTGAATTAAAATAGTAACACTATTTAAAATTAGTTCGGTGGAGTAAATTAGAATAGTAACACTATTTATAATTAATTCGGTGTAAAGATAAATATATACATGGGGTGTAGTAATTTGTAATTAGTTTTGTGTAAAAATAGATCCATACATTGGATGTAAGTAGGATGAGATTAAAATATACCCTTCAGGGAAAAAAAAAACATTAAGAGTTTTAATTAATAAAAAACCTTTATAAGAACAAGTGAAACCTAAGTTTGATAATATATATAGTATTTAGCGTTTAAGAAATTAATTAAGTATAAAGTAATTAGATTTAAGCTTATGAAGTTTTTACATACATGATACAACAACAATCCAGACTATACAAATCATTTACTTCAATATCCGCTCAGATCAGGTTAATATCCATTCCATGCAAATCAGAATATAAGTCGCGAAAATAAATTTGAAATACTTTTTATCAAAAAAAAAAAAAAAAGGGCCATTCCATGCAAATTCAGAATATAAGTCGCGAAAATAAATTTGAAATACTTTTTATTCAAAAAAAAAAAAAAAAAAGGGAAAGGGGATTTTAAAACAAAATAAGTCCTCTCACATGGCAAGTTTAAAAATTCAATCTGATTTAATGATAGCCTTAAGTTTCGTATAATACAGTGAAATTTGAGAATAGGGAGGGGAATCTTCATATTAACCATCGTTATAACATATAAATAAATAAAAAAAAAAAAAAAAAAGGGAAAGGGATTTTAAAACAAATAAGTCCTCTCACATGAAGTTTAAAATTCATGAATAATGAGTAGCCTTAAGTTTCGTATAATACAGTGAAATTGAAGAATAGGGAGGGGAATCTCATATTAACCTCGTTTAACATATAAATAAATAAATATACCATAAATAAAAGAATATAGAGACAAAAGGCCAGCAAAAACCCAAATATCACCCAAAGCCAAAGTCTAGATTTAACTAATATAAGAGTTTGTACTTCATAATAGAGAAAGAGGCATTTATGAATAAAATTTAAAATAAATATTAAAAAAAAAAAAAGTCAACTTCTCTAACAGGGGCAATTTTTGGTACACAAACCTGTTTCTCCCTCTCTTTTGATGCGAAGATAATTTTTTTTTTTTTTTTTAAATGGACAAGGATAGTATTATATATAAACATTTCATTATCAACAAAACTAAGAATTTCAGAGTGTGTACATATATATATATATAACTGCTATTTGGTTGTGCCATCTAGGAACTTATCAACAATAGAAACAGTATATTGCAACTCTGTACAGCTCATGCAGAGCCCCGCTAGGCGCCAGTTCTATAATGAAAGCTTATTTGCTAAATACATATATACATCATTAGAATAGTATTCGGTACCAGGAGGAGACTAATATAAAGATTTAATTCTTCGGTCCAAACAAAGGTTTAATCCTAAGCTGGCGGTTCCACTTACCACCTGGTTCGGGCTGGTCCTGATTTCAAACCTTGACCACCACGAAAAGGAATTTGGCAAGTTAATAACAAATAAAGAATGGATATGCAGTGACTTCATCAACTACGCACATACATGTGGATATATATTCACACTAATTTAATTATGTGACATCAAGAGTTGTGAATTTCATAGTAGGCAATGTGAAGTAGGTAGGGAAAAGCAAGCTTCATTCTCTATTATTAAACAACGGGTAGATCATTTACATATGTGACCAGAATTTGTTTGTGTCAAAAATGACAAAATGGTAGATGTACTTAATATAATGATCTATACATAATACATTACTTGGGAGTAGTCATTAAACCATGTCTGAACCGTCTGATTCACTCTCTCTGCTTTCCTGCCATCCTGTACCCATCCGAAATTTACATACTGGACATGTGCCTTGTTGACGCAACCATGGATCGATGCAATTAGTATGAAACTGCAAGCGTTAAAGTCATTCTAGTTATCAAAGCTGCATATACCTTAAAGCCATACACATCAAAATACCACCATTTACCACCGAAAAGTTATTGCAAAAATATTAAAAGGCTAAATTCAGATTAGCTAACTAAACACTATAGATATAATCTTTTATCATGTAAACTTATGAAAATAAGAACTTACATATTCACAGATTCCCATTACAAGCAAGTAATAAACAAGAGATCCATATGCATCAAAAGGCGTATGTACGGCAGCATAGGAAGAAATCAAAACAATATCAATTATTAGGCTGTCAGTACCACTATTTTAATGAAAAGCTTGAAAAGCCAAAATAATTGAAAACGTGTTCATTTTGGGTACCAGAAGATACAGCTGTTCTTTTAGGATAAAAAGTAGATATCACAGTCATCTGACAGTTACAATGTGTGGTGCAACCACAAACCAGACCATTGGCCCATAAGTTATGGTTGCAGAGAAACTAACATTTGCAATAATAATATAAAAATGAGTAATTCCTAAAAATTTCAAAATCAAGTTCAAAAATGCATGCACAGGAACTTTGAAGAAATCACATAGATTGTTAGATAACAAATATGTTATGGTTAAAAAGATGAGGAAGCAGGGGATCCACCTGATGCAAACATGGCAAACTACGAACAAGTTCCCCCCTGTTAACTTGTTCCAAGCAAATAGAGCATGTTAATTCATCTTCTGAAGCCTTCACATTCCCATCTGCCTTATTAGAGTCTTGCTTCATCTGCTGGAAAAATCGAGAATAAATCATCAATGTTTATGCACAAAAAAAGAGAAGTAAAGGCAGAAAAGTTCAAAAAATTTCATCCCACCCAATAGAATCAGATGTCATGCCTGTACTAAATCTCTATAGCCAAAGTCATCTTAGGTATGTACAAGTATACAGGTGGTTTTTCTTATCAGATGATACATAACTCCCTTGAAAACAGTGAGAAAGATAGATCAATTTGTTTAATCGCTTGTAAATGCTGGAGTTATTCATGGCAAAGGACCATATCATTTCAGGATCAACTATCGTTTTAGATCTCATGTGATTTTACCATGGTCGTTCAACTTTCATGATTTTGAATCCAAAAACCAGGATTTCTAGCCATAATTTTGGTTGAATACAGTTTGTATGTTCTTGTCATTTTGTTCTTCCTGTAACTAACAATTTTACACCAAAGAAGTCAATTTTCCAGAAACCATGGCATCATATGCTTTTGCATAAATGATGAACCCCAAAAGAACATATCATATAAAATAAATAGTCTTAATTCAGACATTTCACAAAGTCAAGTGGTGAAAGCTGAAAGCAACACCACATGACCTACTAGAGAGGGATTCTTTGGTAATATAAATAATTATAAATGCCCTCGAGAGGTAGCCATAGATTGAGACAACCTGTTTTACATCATCTCTGATAGATATCACCATAACCACAATGATAAACTGACAATGTTAATTGAATGGGCAGGTCAATGAAGTGTGTTTAAGAGCCAAGAGCAGCGTATGTTAGATGTTTCATCACCATCACCATATCCAAACCAAATTCTGTCCAGCATGTCCAAATTGACATAATGATAATAGATAGGGAATCACAACTAAATAATTACCACACAAGTAAAACACCAATGATCAACCATCATAAAAAGAAGTTGAAAATAGGAGCAGAAGCACAACACAATTTTCTCATTGATGATATAATCAAATTTATGATATGAAAAAAAAAAAAAAGGAAAAAAAGAATACATACCTCTGTTGGAGCTGAAGAAGACGATGCCTGCTGCTGTGACGTGTTAGCACTAGCATCAAAAGGGGAAAAGAAAGAAAGAAATTAGTCAACTTATTGCGTAACTAGAAACTAAAACCAGTAAAGAGATCATTCCAACTTACTTCTCTGGGGCAGGGACCTTATACTTGTGAACAGGTAAGGCATTTATCTCTTCCTCACTCATAGAAGGAGTTGTAGAAGCATTATCAGAATCCAAAGCTCTCAGAGTTTCATAATCTGCCCCCAGCAAAAAGTAACAATAATTGTAGCATATGCACGTTCAAAATCCAAGAAAACTACATTTTATGTTCCACATGAAAAGTTAGCACCATACCTAGGTCATCAAATTCACGGTCAAGAAGAGCAAGCTGAAGCCTAAGTCCTTGTAATCGACCTCTTGTTGCAAAAGCTATAGATGGTGGCACATGTAAACGCAATTCAGTATGTCCCAACAAGCCACTGGCAGCAGCTGCATGAGCCCGTGCCTGAGCTTGAAGTTGTTGACAAGTCGCATACATTCGCAAGCTTGTAGCCATCAAGAACACACCCACTACAAGCCAAAGCTACAAAAGCATAAAAACTACTCTTACTCCCACATTTCATCAGAAACACCAAGTAAATTCAATTTTAGATACACAATATGTAGTACATACCAGGAAGTTCGGTGATATTTGATGAGAGTTCAAAATCATGAACAGTAAAAGAACTGCTAAAATGCATGGAGTTTTGGGTTAAAAATTGCAACAAACTAGCAGGAAACATGAAAAAATATGAAATTCGAAACAATAAAAAAAGAGGGAGCAAAAGAAAACTACCTGTAACAAGAAAAGCCAGCGAATTAGAATTAACAGGCCGGCCTCCATGAATGCGCTGATAAGAAGAAAAAAGAGTCGGTATGCAATTAAAGTTAAGGCATAACACTGATATTATGCAAAACTACAAAAAGGCAGATGATTATGGATTACCACAGTAGGGCGTTCGGGTATAAAGCTTGTAAATCCGCTTTCTATATCTCCTCTTGAACCTCGAAAAACGAAACTCATTGTCGCATAGAGCTTTCAAGAACCCAAAATTTTCGAAATGTTCCTTTAGATCTGCAAAATCCGTAGAATTCGAAAGGAATATCAAAAGTAGTGCATCACTCTCGTTTTGAGCCGAAATCAAAGATGCAAATGCAATATAAAACAGAAACTGCGCCTCTATAAGAAAATTCCGTTTAATTTGCACAAAAAAGCTTAGGTTTAGGAACTATGGCATTCTGATCCTTGGGCAGCTTTGGCAGTTTCGTGCGAGCTAACAACTAAACGACCAGGCGGTTCACTAAGAACCTTTTTTAGGTGGAATTGAATGACCACCTAAATTCAGCCGTAATTATCGTGTTTATGCTCTGAACGACCAGCCTTTTTTAAAGTTTTAATGAACGACGGTCATTCGTTTGCTGAATGGGAAGCCGTTTAACGACAAGTCCATTTTTCAAATCGTCCAGAATGACGATTCTACTGTCAGATAACTTCTTCAAAACACACGCAATTTCATCCAAACAGAACTGCATTTTGAAGAAAACGACTATTCGTTTGCGATAAGCACTGCGTTGAACAGTGGAGTCGCCTGCATATCATCTTCTTGAACCAACTCAACTCAACAAAGCCAGAGGCAGAGCCAATTAAAAAAATAATAACAATACACCATATTTGTATCTATAATTAATTAAAATTAGAATAACATAATAAATATTTAAAAAATAACAAATCTGAAAATATACGAGAGAACAGATCAGATGAAAAAGCAAAATTGAGAGAAAATTTTCAAATCGATCAAAATATTAAAGCAAGAAATGGATCAGAACGGAACTCACCGAAATGCAGATCGAGAAATGGAGTTACAGTGAAATCGAAAGCCAAATCAACAGAGAGAACGAAGGGAAGTGAAGAAGCGAAACCGAAGAAATGCTAGGGAAAGAGAGAGAGGGTAGGTATGTGATGTGGTTGGCGTTTAGTGCTGGTGTTGTTAATGGAGTCTCTGCCTTTGTATTTATAATAATAACTTACAGTGCCTGAAATCGAATTGATTTTTTCAGTATTCATAGTGGCTAAAGTCTAGTGTTCAAGAGTACTCTAGAGGTTGACACGTCAACTTGACTCCAATGCAACCATTGCCACGACTCAACAATCCACCTCGCTAACCTTCCATCCCAATTGACTTCCACAAAAAAATTTTATAAAATTTATATGTAAATTTAAATTTTTATATTTAATAAAAATATAAAATTCAATTTTTAAAATTCAATTTTAGAGATTCAATTGGATAAAGGCTGCACATTGCGTAGTTTTTTATTATATATTAATATTTTAAATTTTTAGCATATATTATTTTATATTCTATGTAGCATCTTCAAAATTTAGATATTAATATTTTTAAATTACTTTAATTATTTTAAGATAAATATTAATTTTTAAAATAAAATTATTGATGGCTTGTGGTTGATTTCTATATTTAGATAATAAATTAAAATTTTAAATAATTAGGTATTTAATTTCAACCATACGAAATAAATTTTTTCATGTAAATATGTATTAAACTCATATTAGATAGATTTAATTTTTTATCTTAATTGTTAAAAAGAACATATAAGAAATTAAATTAAATAAAATTAGCCAATACTTCAATTATTAATTAATTTTCTGACATCTATGTGTTTTCCGTTGCTTACATAGGTATATCATGTGTGCAGGTCCATATAGTTGGAACAGAAATTAATTCATACAAAAGCTCATGGTTTTGTAAAAAAATTGTGACGGCATCATTTTGCAAGTTTAAGCAATTTCATTGAGACATGGACATAAAAATAAAACATCCAAGAACCTAATAATCATTCATCTCACTAGAATCTAACCATAAAAGAAGGCAAATAGTAACTAGTTGTCAAATCTCTCATCATCTTCTAGCTATTTCATTTTTTCATTAGATTTATCAAATGAATCCTGCTTCCTGGTAGGAGTCTTCAGGAGGGTGTATTGGATTAAAAGTCTGTTAGATTTTAAAATTTCAATGGTATTCAATCTAAATTCTTTTAGAGTTGATTAAAATTTTGTGGTATTCAATTCAGACTTTTATAAAATCCATAAAAATTTAATAGTATTCAATTATGACTTTTAAAAGTGAAACATCTCGTAATTCTATTTTCAAAATTTTTGAATTTTTGTTAAATCAAAATTTGGACTTTCGATTGTATGGACTGTGAATACCGTATAATTTTGATTCGAGCCCAAATTTACAGAGTTGGGCTCAAGGCCAAAACATATTATCGAAATTACCGAGTTGGGAATCTTTAGAAAATTTTTAAGAATAAATATGGAGCTATATATATGTGTGTGTGTGTGTGACTACTATATAAATTAATTATCTTAAAATCAAATAGCATGATTATTATTATTATTGAGTAAATTGAGGAAATGTTCTAGAACCTAACTAAAATCATTAAAATAATCAAACCGGACCCGTAAACAAGTTAAAATCTCTAAAAATCGAGTCAAATCATTGAATCGAGCCAAATCAATACGAATCGAACCAAAATCGGCCCAGAGAGCTCTAGAAGTCCCTAGAATGTTGCAAAATTATTTAGGGGTCCTCTTTCTTTCCCTCCTCTCCCCCCCCCCCCCCAATGTTCTAAACCTAACTAAAATCATTTAAAAATAATCAAACCGGACCCGTAAACAAGTTAAAATCTTCTAAAAAATCGAGTCAAATCATTGAATCGAGCCATCAATACGAATCGAACCAAAATCGGCCCAGCAGAGCTCTAGAGATCCCTAGAATGTTTGCCAAAATTATTTAGGGTCCTCTTTCTTTCCCTCCTCTCCCCCCCCCCCCCCCCCCCCCCGGGGCACAACAGCCCTATTTCCCCTCTGTTTTCGGCCACCGGCCATGGATTCCGGCAACCAAGACCCAAACTTCAAGTGCTCGATGAGAGGAACTCATCTATGGTCTCCGTTCATGCAATAGGCGTCGGAAGCAAGAGAAAATCGCGCTTGAAGATGTCGCAACCCACTGATTTCTTTTTCCAGCGATCCACGCCGTTTCCGGCAGCTTGAGGCCGAGGGACATGCTTCGATCGACTCCTCTCTTCCCAGCGAGTCTCTTTCTCCCATCAGTCCGGGCGACAGAGCTCGCCTGACGGAGACGCCATGGACGGCAGTGGCGAAGCCACTGTCGAGGCCATTCCAGCTAAATAAGGCTCACCCAGTCCAAGTTGATCATAGATTTGAAGTCCCCACGAGATTTCGAGCAATTTGGTATAAATGTTGCTTAATTCCGGCCATAGTAGATTTTCTAGCCACTGGCGGCGGCTGCTGCTGGGCGACCAGCTGGCGAGACTCCGGCGAGGCCCAAGAGGCAGAATCCTCACCGTAGAATCGTGCCCAATTCTTAATTGGTACGTTCTAAGACCAGTTTCCCATTTTTGTTATAAATTCTAAATCAAAAATTTTTAGTTGATTAAATTAAATTGAATATTGTTAAATATATTTCATGAACATTAGTTATAACTAGAAGGTTTGATATTGAAATAAGAATTGTTGATTGGATAGAACTTTATCTTAGTTATAACTAGAAGGAATTTGTAGATACTTGAAATAAGAATTCTAAAAAATATAATTATAAGTATTATTTTTAGGAATTTTAATAAAGTATTGTTTAGGGTAGGAGTTTAGATTGATAATTTGAGAGGTTAGACCAAGTAATTTTAG